AGCAAGAGGAATGTCCCTTCTCCCCGGTGCTACCATGGTATGTGGCCGTGGGGAGGCTTTACCTTGTCGGTGTATGATAAAGTCTCTCTAGATCCAGCCTCTCTGGTCTCAACAAGGGAGAGATTTGTGGAGGGAATGGTTTTTGGGTCAGGGAAGGAGTCTTGTACCTGCTCACACACCAACTCTTTAAGGAAGGTTTGGAATCAATCTTGGTGATTAAGTGAGAGAACAAGTAGCTTGAAGCCTCGGGGACTTTGCAGTCTGCTCAGGTCTTGGTGCGGCTAAAATGGGGAGAGCAGGATCTTTATTTTCCAAGCATATTTGAAAGGGAAAAGTACCAAAGAGCAGAATGATTCTGACACAGACATGGAGGAGGGTGTGATTTCTTCTCCCAGGGAAAAAGCAATGGGAGCAACTAGAGGAGAGGTGACTTGCTCCTAGTTTCCTTGGCTTGGGGCTGCATTTCCATCGGATTACCCAAGGTGTGGGTCACCATGGAGTGGGTTTTGCTGCTGTTCGGGTCTGGTGTTGCCAGCTGTAAGCATCTGTGCTGCAGCACACTAATGTGTGAAATCTAAGGCTGTGCATGAGCCCAGAGCTGCTAGAGTAGAAGAGGATTTGGTGAGTCAAGCTACTTTTTTTTTTTTAAGCACTGATCCCATTTCCTTGTATTCTTAAGTAGTTTCAATCCATCTTACTGCATTACAGCGACTGTGTTGATTGTTCTACTGTAGTGAGTAATAACAAGCTGTACTCTCCAGATTACCCTGGAGAACTGGATTCCTGGCTTAGCTGTGCCATGCTGCTTGCATGCAAAGGCACATTGGGGTAACTTGATTTGTTCCAGGGCATACAAAGCTCTCTGGGAACAGGGGAGAGAAAGGGGAGCAGCAGGAAGTGTGGGAAAGGCAGGCAGGGATAAAGCAGAGCAAGAAGGGATAGGGAATGGGTGGCTATAGGGAAGATACTTTCTCGCTCCAAGGGAGACCCCAGTAATTTCTACCTTGCAAGAATTTTTTCCTGCAATATGACTGTGTGGGAGGAAGTCAGCAGAGCCCTAGCAAGGAAGAGCTCTGTGCATGTTGCAGCCTTTGGGTAGCAGAGGCTCCTGGCCCTTTGGACAGGTGGACTCCGTCCTTCCCTCCATCTTTCCCAGGTGGATTTTGGAGATCAAAGGTAAAGCTCCTGCTGCTCTAATGCTGTTGATGCCAGCGGAGCTGTGCCGTGGGGAAGTTGGCTTGCTTTTTGTTATAGTGGGTATTAAACTTGAGTCTTCAGGGCTGAAATTCCTGCCTTGGCCTGCACTAGATCTGTAGATCACTTAAAGCTCACTTACACCCTCAAAGTAGTTCCTTAAGTGTTGTTGCTGAGGCTTAGTGCTGGCTCTGCATGGGGAGAGCGTTGTCGCTGCTGGAAAGCTGCCCTTAGGCCACACATGGGGTATTCAGCCACCCTAATTGCTCCTGGTGATCTATAATGTTGATGTTCTGGTGGTTGGGCCCAATAGTTCCCTGTGCCGGGTCATCAGCTGCTTCCCTCTGGGTCACAGTCTGGTGACTCTCCCAGCAATACACTGAGCTGTTTGTGAACAAGAAAGCCAGCAATAAAATGTGCAAGAAACTGCAAAGAACCCCCTGACAAATGAGATCTGTAAGTCATTCTTGGAGACCATGCCGGAACCTGGTTATTGCTTAATAGAGTGTGTGCAGCGGAGCTCGGTTTATGGGGGCAGCAGCTCGCGACGGGGAGGAGGGCTCCTGGAGCTCCGTTAAGCCCGTGGTGTTGAGCACGTCCAAAGGCTCCTGTAGACACTCCCAGCGCGGGGGTATGAAGGGAGATTTGGCCCGTGGGGGTTGCACTGGGGCTTCGTCTCTTCTCGAGGTGGTGGCTCTGCTCAGAAGTGTTCGTGTGGGCTCGGCCTCACCCTTCTTGGTGAGACCTTCCCATAGGTTCTTCAGGGGCCTGGCTGCTCCTCCAAGCTGTCCCTGGCAGGATCCAGGACAACATTCCCCTTACCGCCCCCCCGCCTTTCCCAGCCTTTTGTGGCATCCGAATCAAACTGCAAATGCTGATTCCCTTCGAGCTGAGCCGTGGGCCTTGCCATGGGCAGAGCTCTGCTGCCCTTCGCTGCTCTCCATCCACAACCCAGCTGCACAACCCAGAGCCCTGCGCTGGGCAGGACATACAGCCCCAGCGAGGGCTGCACGGTCAACCGGGGCGCAGACCTCTCTCCTCTTTCCTCTGGTGCATCGTCTACTGCAGTTTATTTTAAAGGCTGGGATAGTGCTACCTCCGGAGAAGTTAATAATCCTCATCGAGGCTGCAAGGGCTCCGTGTCCCACCCTGGCAATAAGCTAACCTTGCTCTGTTAGGAGGGCCATTAATGCTGATGGAGGGCAGCAGATCTGACAGCTGCAGGGCTGCAGGTCAGGTTCTCGGTGCCTCACTTCGCAGACGCTCAGTGCAATAGGCTTTGATATCATTAAACAGAGAGGAGCTTGTCTCTTTCTTACCCAGATCCTGTTCCCTTTTTTCCTCTCCTTTTTAAATTAAGGCAATGTGGTGTTGCATTGTAAGAAGGGTCTATTTTTCTACTGACCCAGTTCAGTGAGAGCCTGTCTAGAGCATGTACTGGTTTTGAAGACTGAAAGGGTTTCCTAGGTATTAAGGGCACTATGATCAGCTCATCCCACCTCGTGTATAATGCAGGCTGCTCTCTTCCCTTTTATCCCCTTCCCCTTGAGGACCTGGGGTCCCTTTCCCAACAAGGAGCCAGGGGAACTTCAGGTCTGGCCGCTCTGGGATGCTCAGGAGTCGGTGACAAGGATGTGGCATCTGCCCAGCTTAGCTAAGCTAGTCCCATCCCTCTGCCTTGGTGATAGCTGCCTCCAGAAGGCAGCTGAGGGCACCTAAGTGAACATCCTGCTGCTAAGCACCCTGTGAAGGACCCATCTCCCTCCCCGCTGCAGAGGTGATGTGAGGCTCCAGGGAGGCCGTGCGCCCTGCGGAGAAGCGCCGTTTTCCTGGGAACTGGCCTAAATCATTTTTCCCCATTTGTTGCACAAATGAAATGAAACAGCCCAGTCTGAGAACTAGCAGAAAGAGCTGTTTCCATCAAATCCTTGGAGATGCTGTCATGTTTCATTCCAAGAGAAATTGGTTTGAAACCTCTCCGCTGGAGAAGAAGAAAAACAAAACAAAAAATCTGAAACTCCAGTTTTCTGCTTTGCTCCCACCTGAAGCTTCCCGGGTTTCCCTGGGGCAGGAGCAAGGAATCCAGGTCCAGCTCACTTCTGGACATCACACATTTATGTATTTTTCCAGCACTAAAATAACTGCACTATCACTGAGCATACTTTGAAGATAGCAGAGCAGTCGGCTGCTCGCTGTTTGAGCTGCTGCTGGTATTTTCAAAAGTCACCAGGATTTCTGGGTTTTGGAGAACACGCTTTTCAGATCCAAGACCTGATGTTTTCAGACAGCATTATCTAAACTCCTGGTGCTTCAAGAGTCTTAACGCAGCTACTCAAAAGCAAAATGCTCCAAGGCACTAGCCTTATTTGCTGGTCATAGTTGTGTTTTCTTGCTTCATGGTCGTAATAGAGTGATCTGCTGACAGCCCACTTCTTGGATACTGCTCATAAGAAATAGGATTTTTATGTTTAGAGGAAAGCCTTTGATCTGGGAATTTAGCCTTTGTGCAGCTGTGGAGGTTGGTCTTGGTCACAGTGTGTTAGTGCGGTTCACTTTCTTAGTTTTTGGCATGAAGTATTTAGTGAAGACTTGCTATGCCTCTCTTACGTGAGATTAAATGTTATCGTGGCTCTGAGTGTTTCCAGCTACTGCAGCCCCATATGTGGTTTGAGACTTGGCCGGATGCCCCGTCCCCGGCGGGCCCTGGAGCCATCGGCACGAGTCCGGGGAGGCTGTGCTGATTTCTGCTCGTGCTGTTTTCAGCAGAAATGGAAATGCATTGAGAGGCTACCCCAAAGATACCCAGTGCACCTAGGGAAGAGGTGCAGATCTGTTTGCATCATGTTAGTACATAAATCCAGCTCCCCTTAAGGTGCTTAGGCACATTTGGATAATGACCTGGAACGACCTAGGTAGCAGGAGGTTACATGTACCTGTCATGTCAGCGTCTGCGAGCACGCACGACGGCCAGCCAGCAGGCAGGAGCAGCCAATTACTCTGTGCTCAGAAGCCGTTTGCTTTTTTTCTATGTACTCAGCTCCACAAAGTGAATCCTGCTGCAAAGACCTCGGCCTCCCACCGGCATCACCTCCTGTCTGAAGGAATAGCGTCTAAAGTGCCCTCAATATTTCCAGTGCGGTTTTGCTGCCTGTGCAGTTAAAGGCCACTCTGTCCTCTGCAGGAAGGTGCACGGAGGCAGCCCGTATATTGGGGACAGCGAGTGGCTGTCGGCAGCGCTGGGTGACGACACCTGGGCATCTCCCCCAGCCCTGGTGCTGCTTCACTGCTGCTTCAGCTTCGTGTTTCAATATGCCGTGGTTTTTTACCTCCCTGTGCTGGGGCTTATGCTAGGGAATGGTTTCTGCTAGCTAAGATGCATGGGGGTTATTTCTCACCTGGGATTTCTGGGCATTCCCCTTGGATCTTGCTGGAAAGCAAGTTTCAGTGTGTGCATCTGCACAGGCACAGGTGTTTTGGGAGGGAACTGAGGAAGCAACCTGGCAGATGTAACCAAATCCGTGTGATTATCAACTGTTCTTAAATCTCCTCCCTTTTTTCTCCTGTCTGCCTCTCCCTGTTGGTTTGGCCAAAGGAGTATTTGATATTGGCAGCTGAAATGTTATGATTTCATGTATTTTTCCCTTTTTAATTTTTTTTTATTTTTTCATTTTTTATTGTGGAGACCAGAGGAAGGAAGCCAAAACTGTACTGTTAATTGTTTCCCTGTAAAAGCTAACCTGGACTGAGAGCTGAGGCAAAGCACGGGGAAGTTTGCCTTGGTTTAACGTTGACACGGTCCCATCAGCTCAAATGCTGCTGTTCTCCAGGTCTTCAAAGCCTTCCTCTTCCCCTGTGCTTGCGTAGTCGTCTTTCTCCCCCTCTACGTACTCATCCCCATGCCCTTCTCTGAATGCCCCGTCCTCGTGGTTCTGCTCCTCCTCCTCTTCCTCCTCATTCAAGCCCTCACCAGCGTGCTCTGGTGGGTTATTCCTTAGGTCCAGGTGGACGCATTGCCCATGGGGGTTCACCTGCTGCTTGCAGAAGGGACACGTCTTCTTCCCGGGCTGGGTATAGAGCCAGGTGTCAATGCAGGCGCAGTGGTAGGCGTGCGAGCAGGGCAGGATCTTCAGCTGGTCTCCTTCCTCGTACTCTGCCATGCAGATGACGCAGGTTTCGTATTTGTCTCCCCGCTGGTAGGTGCGGACCGTTATCCGATGGGCTTTCTTGTACCAGCTCATGCCGATCACGAGCGTGAGAGCGGCGATGATCATGTTGACCATGCTGAATCCCAACTCCTGTGCGATGCAGTTCAGGATGTAGTAAGAGGGGTATTTCATCAGGAGTAGCCAGTACTGCCAAGTCGTGTCCCATAAAATTTTAGCAGCATCTTGACAAGGATTGAAATAGTGTTTGGGCGGTATAAGGCTGATGCAGGCCCCTTTCTCGTAATGCAAAATCCTTTGCAAGTGGAGGAAGACTGATTCTCCGGTGAAGAGCGATGGTATCTCAATCTGCTCGTGGGTTCCTGTGTCATCAGGCATCATGTTGATCAGCTTCTCTGAATCCACGTTGTACACAACAGCAGCTTGGTATCCAGCCTGCTGGGCATGAAGGACCTTCTCAACAAAGGAGCAGCCCAACCCCTCGATGAGTGCAATAAATATCTCAGAGGTGTTATGGGTTGCTGGAGGATGCTCTATGGCATGGCAAGCTTTTGGTGGTGTCGCCCTGATCATATATCCTGTCAGTCCTTCCACTGGGAGCGGTGGCCCAAAGCACGCGGGCAGGGCTTTGTAAGCAATGCACTTGGAGTTGTGGTTGTAAACCACATGGCTGAAGGTTTCTGCAACAGCAGTGTCGTAGAAGGTGGCAACGGCACAGAGAAGATGAAGCAGAAGACTCATGCTGAACGCTGGTGAGTAGCTTTCAATACGGAGTTTGGAGATGGTCCCAAAGGAAGAGTGTAAGAGGCAATCACAGAGGAATCATCCCATTTAGGTGTTACCACCATGTCATGACCTGGAGCAGCAGCAGAATCGAGATCAAACCCTGCTCTGCCCTGCAGGCGTCTGCAGTAGCTTTTCAGTTCACCATCCTGGTGTGGAAGGTCCCAGGATGCTGCCCATCTCCAGCTCATTGTCCCCCGCTGCCAAGCAACGCTCTTGCATCACATCTGCACATCTGTGACATCACTTGGTGACCCTTTTCCAAGGCTGGATTCTTGTAGCATCGCTGCCAACCTGCTTAGCCCCTTCTTTCCCCTTCTTTGGTCCACTCCGTGCTTGTGGCTTCTGTTTTACCTCCCTTCGGTCAATTTTTCCATGCTCATGGGTAGCTATTGTGGTGAGAAAGTTGAGAAAGGAGTGAAAAGCATTGGGCATGAGTGTTGCCCCTCTCACCCAGAGTGGTGGTCATCAGCAAAGCTCCCATCTACCAGGCAGTTCCTGACTCGGAAATGGTGACTTCTCGGAGCCTGGAGGAACAGCAGCCCAATGGGGAGGCAATAGCTCTCCTGGTTGTTGGAACAAACTAGCTCCAGATACGTGGTGAACCCAGGGCACTTCCAAACCACAAATCCCTAAAAACCTGTACCTTTTAACAAACAACCCTTTTGGTTTAACGATCCACATGGGAGTAGCCCCATGGTTCCCAGTGCAGTTGTGTTGGACTCGTAGTTAAAAAAAATCACTTGTATGCTAGGCAACTGATTTGTTACTAGCCCCCTTGGGCTCTGCTGGAGACAGATTTCACTGGGAAAAGAGCTACAGAAAATGTCAGCAGACAGTGTGTGTGTGTGTATCGGAGACTCCCAGCAGCTGTGATTTCAAATCGATTTTATTTTCCCTCATCTAAGGAGTTTTACACTTGCAGGGAGACATTTTGATGCATTTAAAAACAAAACCAAGCCTTCCGAGGGAGCGAGCTAAATGCTTCCTGGCAGAGAAGGCGCCGATAAAGGAAATAGTGGTACATCAGGAGGACTTTTTGAGAGTGTATTTTTGGCTTATCTTAATGCTGCTTGTGATGGCATCTGTCACCCTAGTGTTGCCCAGCTTCCTTGGTTTGAAGGTCTCTCGTCTTGTCTGTGCCAGGCTGTCCTGAAGACCCCTCCAGCCCCAGGCCACATGCATTGCAGCCAGCACTGTATTCCTTCCTGCTCTGCCCTTGTGTTTGTGAGTTAAATACATTGCAGATGCTCCTGGACGTACTCTTGACCCATTTTCTCTGGAGTCCCTGCAATCTACTTCATTGGAATAATTGCAATTTATTTAAATGTCAACAAGGCACACGTGGGAGACAGCAGTTGTGTGCAAGAGCAGAGCAATTACAGGGAATGGGGTCCCATTTTCCTGCTTGAACAAAGATCCAAGCTAGAAAGCAAAATATCATTTACCTCTATTAACTGATCCCTTGCTTCGCCACCCCTGAAATCCCTATGTTCCTTTATACTCCTTATTTGGGGCTATCACTTAGTGCAGCAGTGGGCACGTAAAACCAGCTCCTGCTTTTATTCCACAGCAGTCTCCTCTATCCAGAGGAATTTAGTGTTAATTTAGCCCTGTGTAA